AAAAAAAGCTTGTTGCTAAAATTGTAAGTATAACTAGTCGTTTACCAAAATATATAATATTTTTAGCATTACAACAGTCTCAGTAATTATAAAAAAGCTAAAGCGTATGTCTACCTGTTGTTCAACCACGGAAGGTAGTTGAAAAAAGCGACGATTTTCGTCATGTGCCTTTGATCAGAATTTTCCAAGATTGAAGGGGAAAACACTACAAGCATCAAACTATTATGTTATGTTAAAATTATTTTGGGGAAATCATTTTGAGCTTCTTAGAAATAATTTGAAATTCGTATTTTAGACAACATAAAATAACGGCATCCAACACAAGAGTCACACAACCACCACCAACAATTTGACTTTAGGTTTCCTTTTACAACGCTGGTAGCCTTGATATATAGAACAACTTTTTAAAAAAGCTCACCTTAACCTGTATCTGTTGTACTTCAAGCTCCAAGTTGTTTCATTTTGCCGCCTTATCACCTATCTTACCGTAGTCGTGAAGTCCGCTGGAATGTGTGCGTTGGAGGTGCGTGACAGCTTTCTGGTAATTTCTTCATCCCTCTGTTTTCTCCAATGTTTTCAAGTTAACATCTCATGTTTGTTAAAAATTTTGAGAACCCTGGACCTTAAAAAAGCCGGCTATAAAACAAAGCTCGGTAGTTTAACTGTCAACAAAGTCAACAAAGCGAAGTTGCTTGCTCGTGGATCCGTTCACTTCAAGGTAATCTGATTTGCATAGGAGTGTGCCAAGGGTCTACTTCCGGTGCCGAGCATACACGTGACGAGCTTCACCGACTTTCACCCGTTACTTCCAGTACACTGAAGAAGATTCATCTTTTATACTCCTCCTTCTTCAAAAATACTGCAGTTGACATTATTTTACCTGAGAATTTAGGCATTTTATTAACATTATCGAGTAAATTTAGTTTATATTGATTCAACCGTTCATTCCCACTTGAAAAAGAAAAAAGATCTTTGCAAAAACACTGTTTGCGTGCGCTCTTCTTCGATGAAGCTATGGAAGGTTCGTGCTCCTTCGAGTCATTAGTAGGTTCTCTGTGTTCGTTTGATAGAAGGGATAAACAGAGATCAACTGAGATTGTTCCTTTGTCGCTGTCAAACTATTAAGGACGTAACTGGGCATAGGTTGACATAGTCTCTTTCTGGTATTGAAAGCGAAACAGACTCTATTTTAGCTCAGAACTGACCAGCCAGACCATTGCCGTCGCAATGATAATTTCCCTTTTTATTAAACTCTTCAGCTAGATCAGTCAAATCCGCAATGGTATGCTCGAAAGAGAACGTTTTTAGGCAAAACTCGGGCAAAGGTCCAGCCGGCCAGTTCTGACAAATGGTAAGCGCCCTAAGTTCCTTTAATATATCCCCTTTCCATCGTTCTGAGCTCGGTATTAGATGGCGACGGAACAGTTATTCCAGTTCGTGCCAAGTTCCACAGGAAAGCGCCAATCACATAATTGAAAGAAGAGGGAAACCTGTTTAAAGCCGACAAAAGAGTTAGAGGAAGAACATTTCAGAATATATCTATCAGCAAACCGGTATCCTCATTCCTGGAGGTTCAGGTACTCTTGGTTTATTCACTGTATTATATTCTAATTAGTCACTTAGATTCAATCCACGAATACTGTATAAAGTTTATCATAGTTGTCAACTCTCTTAAATAACCCAGAGTCTCCCGGGTACGGCACCAATCCACCTAATCTGTCCGATAAAATAAACCTTTCACTTTTTCTCTTAGTTTGAAATTAAACCCGATTTCCCTCAGAGTAAATCTAGCCGGATTTATGAAAACCGTAACATCGGACACCAGGAGCCCACACACCTTAAACTGACTCAACTAAAGTAAATATCGCCAAGAAACTCAGCTCTTACCCATGGTTCTCTTAAGGTGACTCTCTTCTTGGTTCCTGATTAGCAAAAGAAACATTCAAGTCCATCAAAAAGACACTCTGGACTTGTCCATACACTCTAGCTGCTTAAAGGCCCTGAATGACGGAGGACGCTTGAGACTTCAGCAAGTTCTAAGCAGAGAATTCAAGGTTAAGTCACCCCCTGACTTCCTCCACCCCCAGCCTAGCACGTGCTTGAGGGGAATGCTTTCATTGGCCAATGGGCCTCAAACGTCACAAGAATTTCACAGGACAAACTAAAGGCAGACGTGACCAGTGCACTGACTCTCCCAGACCAGGACTAACGGAAGGTACAACGCTTTTGCAGCAGCCTCCCCCCCTAGGGATTGACGTGGAGGCCCCTTTCCAACCAATGGCGAGTTAGCTCAGGGACTGAACTTGACAATGAGACCAAGCAGGACAGCAAGCCCCCTATGTATTTTCTCAGCGCAGTGACCAGAAAGCTGGCTATGGCCAGCTTTCTGTGCGAATATTCTGGTGCATTTTTCAGGTAGGTTTTCAAAAATTCGGCTAGAAATATATATAGATATATACATATCTATATTTTTTTTAAATTTAAAGATCATAGTCCAGTTCTGATGGCATTTGTTGTTGTCGTTTCATTTTATTTTATTTTTTTTTTACATTTACTTCAAACGACTGACTTGTTCCTCATTCAAGCCAACGTGTGGGAAAATGGCCAATGACGAAGCCATTGATTTCAAGCTCAGTAACAGATGCGCTTGCAGAATGTTACAAGAACGCAGGACACTGGGGATCACGAAGAGAAATCTTATCTATTAGGGACGGACCATTAGAAGAGTGATGAGGGGGGGGGGGTGGAGGTGGGGAATTTTTGTGCCGCCGAAATTTTTTTCGTTATCAAATTCCTTCATGAATTTCAGTTTTAGGCCGTAGCATGAATATTTTTTAGGGTTAATTGGCGTGCATAAATTTTTTTCATTTAATTTTCCCTTGCGCGAATATATATATTTTTTGTACTTCGCCCCCCCCCTCCCCAATAATGTTTGTTTCAATTCACGAAAAGTGGCATTTAGCACAGCAGAAATTACATTTGTCATATATTAAGAAGGCACTCTGAAATACCACGTGCAGGCCAGGATTGCCCACGTGCAGCCAACAACTGGAAGTTCCATCTGTGAAGATGGGAAGAAAACATGTACACAATTTTTTGTTAAGACATCTGTTGATTTGATAATGCCCACGTCTCGAAGCAATGAAAATCTTCATTGAGGCTACCAATTAAATTCTTCATTTTCAAAAATTTTATATTATACCAGGTTGTACGTTTGCTTTTCGCCTGCTTTTAGCGGATCCAGGGGCCCGTTTCTCGAGGCTCCCGGTAATTACCGGGCCCGTTAAGCTGTTTTGTTTTCCATTTTAGAAGGGAGTTTTAAAAGTTTTGAAAATTATACAGTAGAGTTATTAGCTAACGAAACAAAATGGACTTCATTAGAGATCAGAACACACCCTACTTTTCTTGAGACTTTGATTTAAAAATATGATTCCGGGCCCGTTAAGTTACCGGGACTTTCGAGAAACGGGCCCCAGACCCCGGGCCCCGGGATCGTGACAGCTGTAATCTGATATTACTGTTGACAGTAATTTGCATACTGAGTCACAAAACGTTCGCATGGGCGCTTTATCCTTCAGATTGGCGCTTCCTTCTGCGGTGTCTAGCAGCATTTTGAGACAAAAGCTGTTGACAGATAAGGAAGAGAGGTTTTACTGCGTGTTTACTAAGCGAACTTCGTTAGAAAGCATGCGTGTTGGTTATGAGTCTCAAACAGAGTTTAATATAGAATGGCAAATTTGAACAGATTGCAACGGGAAACATTTTACATTTTGCCGTAAAACTAGACCTGAAACAAAGAACAGGGTGAGTACTTTAACATTTAGAACTTTGCGCGTGAATATTACCAAGACTTTTTCCGAGAGACGTTTCATGACCTTTGCCTGGTCGACTGACGATGGTCACGCATATGTTAAACATGGCGTTACTTTATGTTGTCTGTGAAACGATTTTCAAATAATTTCCGAGAAGCTCAAAATGATTTCCCCAAAATAATTTTTGCATAACATAATAGTTTGATGCCTGTAGTGTATTTGCCTGCAATCTGAAAAAATTCTGATCAAAGGCACATGATGAAAATCGTCACTGTTTTCAGCGACCTTCCGTGGCTAAACATCAGGTAGTCGTACGCTTTAGCTTTTTTACAATTACTTAGACTGTTGTAATGCTAAAAATATTATATATTTTGATCAACGACGAGTTAAACTTAAAATTTTAGCAATAAGTTTTTTTCCTAGCGCGGCTGTATTGGAGCGCGAGTCCAGCGAATCATGATGAATTTCAAACCTGTTTTTGGCTTGCGAAATCGACGGTGGGGCTTGAAACGGTTTTTTTCGTTTTTCTCGGAAACGAACAGATCTTTCGAAGAAAAAACTACATAGCGTTTGTATACTTACTAATGTCTACCAGTCTGCAAAAGAAGAGCGATTTTGGTTTTTTGAGCCTTGCCACGAATCGGCGATTTTGGTCGATTTTTGCATGGATTCGCTCTTTTAAATAACTTGTTGCTACGTCGGCATGATCTTCAACAAAAATCATTTTACTAATCGTCACTACTTTTTCGTGAAGTTCTTTGGCTTGATTGTATTCTCCCAGGTGGTTGTACACTAATGCCAAGTTCTTATGACTTGTTTCTACATCGGCATGATCTTCACCAAAAAATCTCTTTGAAAATCATCAGTGCTTTCTCGGAAAGTTTTTCGCCTTGACTGTTTTCCTCCAGCAGGCTGCTGTGCACTGATGCCAAGTTGCCAGAACTTGTTGCTACATCGTTATGATCTTCACTAAAAATCGTTCTGCGAATAGTCAGTGCTTTTTCGTGAAGTTCTTTGGCTTGATTGTATTCTCCCAGGTGGTTGTACACTAATGCCAAGTTCTTATGACTTGTTGCTTCATCGGCACGATCTTCACCAAAAAATCTCTTTGAAAATCATCAGTGCTCTCTCGAAAAGTTTTTCGTCTTGACTGTTTTCCTCCAGCAGGCTGCTGTGCACTGATGCCAAGTTGCCAGAACTTGTTGCTACATCGTTATGATCTTCACTAAAAATCGTTCTGCGAATAGTCAGTGCTTTTTTGTGAAGTTCTTTGGCTTGATTGTATTCTCCCAGGCGGTTGTACACCAATGCCAAGTTGCTATAACTTGTTGCTACATCGCCATGATCTTCGCCAAAAATCTTTTTTAAAATCGTCAGTGCTTTTTCGTGGAGTTCTTTGGCTTGATTGTATTCTCCCAGGCCGTCGTACACTGATGTCAAGTTGTTATAACCTGTTGCTACATCGGCATGATCATCACCAGAAATCTTCTCGTAAATCATCAGTGCCTTTTCTAAAAGTTCTTTGGCTGAACTGTTTTCCACCAGGCTGCTGGGCGCTGATGCCAAGTTGTCATAACTTGTTGCTACATCGGCATTATCTTCACCAAAAACCTTTTTGCGAATTGTAGTGCTTTTTCGTGAAGTTCTTTGGCTTGAATGTATTCTCCTAGGCTGTTGTAAACTAATGTCAAGTTGTTATAACTTGTTGCTACATTGACATGATCTTCAACAAAAATCTTTTCCAGATTGTCAGTGCTTTTTCGTGAAGTTCTTAAGCTTGATTGTATTCTCCCAGGCGGTTGTACACTGATGCCAAGTTGCTTTAACCTGTTGCTACAATTCGGCATGATCTTCACCAAAAATCTTTTTGCGAATCATCATTGCTTTTCTGCGAAGCTTTTTGGCTTGATTGTATTTTCTCAGGCTGTTGTACACTAATGACAAGTTGCTGTAACTTGTTGCTACATCGGCATGATCTTCACCAAAAATCTTTTTGAAAAGCATCAGTGCTTTTTCGTGAAGTTCTTTGGCTTGAATGTATTCTCCCAGGCTGTTGTACACTGATGCCAAGTTGTTATAACTCCTTGCTAAATTAATATGATCTTCACCAAAAATCTTCTTGTAAATAATCAATGCTTTTTCTAGAAGTTTTTTAGCTTTCTTATATTCTCCTAGACTGTTGTACACTAATGCCAAGTTGCTGTAACTTGTAGCTACATCGGCATGATCTTCACCAAAAATCTTTTTGAAAAGCATCAGTGCTTTTTCGGTAAGTTCTTTGGCTTGATTGTATTCTCCCAGGCTGTTGTGCACTAATGCCAAGTTATTATAGCTTGTTGCTACATCGGCATGATCTTCACCAAAAATCTTTTTGCGAATCCTCAGTGCTTTTTCGTGAAGTTCTTTGGCTTGATTGTATTCTCCGAGGTGCTCGTACACTGATGCCAAGTTGTTATAACTTGTTGCTACAGCGGCATGATCTTCACCAAAAATCTTTTTGTCAATCGTCAGTGCTTTCTCCTGAAGTTCTTTGGCTTGATTGTATTTTCCCAGGCGGTCGTACACTAATGCCAAGTTGTTGAAACTTGTTGCTACTTCGGCATGATCTTCACCAAAAGTCTTTCTGCGAATCGTCAGTGCTTTTTCGTGAAGATCTTTGGCTTGGTTGTATTCTCCCAGGCGTTCGTACACTGATGCCAAGTTGCTATAACTTGTTGCCACATTGGCATGACCTTCACCAAAAATCATTTTCAAAATCGTGAGGGCTCTTTCGTGAAGTTCTTTGGCTTGATTGTATTTTCCCAGGCGGTTGTACACAAATGCCAAGTTGTTATAACTTGTTGCTACATCGGCATGATCTTCACCAAAAATCTTTTTTAAAATCGTCAGTGCTTTTTCCTGAAGTTCTTTGGCTTGATTGTATTCTCCCAGGTGGTTGTACACTGATGCCAAGTTGCTATAACTTGTTGCTACATCGGCATGATCTTCACCAAAAATCTTTTCGCGAATCGTCAGTGCGTTTTCGGTAAGTTCTTTGGCTTGATTGTATTCTCCCAGGCGGTTGTACACCAATGCCAAGTCGCTATAACTTGTTGCTACATCGGCATGATCTTCACCAAAAATCTTTTGCGAATCGTCAGTGCTTTTTCGTGAGGTTCTTTGGCTTGATTGTATTCTCCCAGGTGGTTGTACACTGATGCCAAGTTGCCATAACTTGTTGCTACATCGGCATGATCTTCACCAAAAATCTTCCTGTAAAGCATTAGTGCGTTTTCGTGAAGTTCTTTGGCTTGATTGTATTCTCCCAGGCGGTTGTACACTTGACCACTCATATTCAAAACCTTCCCTTTACGAGTTATTGCATCTGCTGAAGTGTCGTCTAAGTTCCCCAGTAGATCGTAAGCAAAGTTGACCACACGTTTCGCAAACGAGAAATAGGAGCTTTGCTGACAGACTCCGGCGAGAGTATGTAGCCAATTAATGACTGTATCCAAATCCACGAAGGGCGCAAACCTTTCTAAAAGAGTGTTTTGATCTGGCGTCATATGCTCAAGTAAAGATTCACAGTGGGGCATTAGTTTTTTACAAAAAGCATATTTCTTGTAATTTTCTTGGAGTTGGGACTTGAAAATCTTTACCGCTTCTGCCTTGGCGTGGTCTCTCTCACATGATTTCAGGTTAGCTATCTCGCCTTGTTTTAACACTTCATGCACAACTTTATGTAAACGTAAAGAAGCTCGTTCATCCCCTTCTTCGGAATAAACAAGAGTTAAACAGGACCTTACAATCTTTTTCTTCATCAAAACTTCTGGCTGGTCTTTAACTTGGGCTTTGACGAACTTTAAAACAGTTTCGAGTGGTAGGTCTTTGTTAGCGCAGAGCGAAAGAAAAGAGAATTTATGACGAAGAACCTCGTCTGAGTCAACAGCTCTTTGGATAGCCATTTCTACTGCCGCCATTGTTGTTTTATTGTAGGCTGAACTCTCTTTAGCAAGGACAGTTTCGGTCTGTTTTCGCTGGCTGTATGTTGATATGTCTTGAAGGAATTCTTTCCAATCATAATTTGAAGACCCACTGGACACAACAGTTTGCACGTAATAAGCAGCAGCAGCTAAGGCCAGTGGCTGAAAATCGACACGTTGAGCGACATCTTCTACTTGCACTCGCTCTGAAATTTGCGATACTGTTTCCAGCAATTCCACTGCCTCTTCCCGCCTCATTCCTTTGCTTAACGATTCATGATACGTGTGAGGGGCGTTTTGAGGAATTGTATCACCATCTTGAGTGGTAATCAGCACTTGCCCATGACCCCATTCTTTACTGCCGGTTTGAGGAAGCAAGGTGCGGACTAAGCGCAAGTAAATCACATTGTCTGCAATCATCACCCATCTCGTAAACTTGTTGGTCTTCGGCAAAATCAAGCGATGAAGCTGTTTAATTGCTTCAATAGGTTTCTCTTGTTTTAAAGATTCTAAGCCTGTGAACGCGTATTCTGTTATCCCTAGGTGTCTTCCAAGGGTGAGGTAAGAGTCCGCAAGTGTCTCAATGCTTTCTGTGTTCAGTGTCGCAACAAATGTAAGGTCATCGTTTTGTTCAGAAAACAACTGTTGTCCAATTTCCCGGGCAATTTGGCTCTTGCCGCATCCTGGATTTCCTGACAAATACACTGTACTGACTGCTCCGCTGGAACCATTGTAAAGTTCCTCCATTTTCTTAGTGATTCTTTCAATGTCATGCGAGCGCCTAATGATAACATGTGGTGGGCGCGATGCGAGAATGCAAAATGACTGAAGCTTGGCACTTATTTCCTGTGTAAGAGCTTTGTTTTCTTCTTTTGTTGAAACTAGGGCAGCTTCTATACTTTGATTAGCGCTTTTTGCCTGATCTAACCCGGCTTGGAGATCACGAACTTGCTTCTTAAAGTTTTCCACTTCCTCCGTTGGAAAGCTCGTCTGGTTCTTTATGTCTTGAATGTCAGTTATAGCAAGATCAAGGGATGTAAAAGCCTTCAAGACTCTGTCTACAAAAGTTTGAAAGTCGGCATCTGTCAACTTTGCCTCGGTGATATGAGCGATCTCGTTTCGCACCTGACGAATATCATCGATCTCTTTATGGACAGCTGGACTTAATGTGGTACCAATGCTGTCTGAGTACAGGGTGGCAAAAAACAAACATGTGCAGTCCCACTCTGCCGTGTTACCATTCTGTATTGTTGCTAGACACCGAGAGTTTTTCTTGTGCCTTGCTTTAGATTCCTTGTTGTAGAAATCATGACCATTTTGTGCCGTGTCTTTCCATTTTCCAATTAATGTTCCTTCATAAAGGAAATCCCACTCGTTTTTGAAAATCTGCCGCAGTCCCACTGGAACCAAATCAAATGCTATGTAGCAGAGTCTGAAGTAGTTTAGTTGCTCTTGCGAGTATCCCATCACCACCCTTTAATCCTGGAAGAGACACTGCCTTTTAGTTTATTTTCTTCCGAGGCAAAAATAGGGTTTTTCACTTATTATATTGAAAGTGTCGAGTATTAGTGATCAACCGGTGATGAACACATGAACCCCAAAAGATTATGAAAAGCTAGTCACTAATTATAAACTACGTTCAATTCGAGACGGTAGGTTAAGTATCTACAGCTTCAGCAGTCAGTTTTACTCAGTCGGTTAGGTAGACAAATGCGCGTGAGCTTAAAACATAAGTTTCTTAGGGAGCAAGTTCGTTACCAGCAATGGGCCTCTAAGAATTGTTTGGTAAAATCGTTTTACTTAGTAGCCTATAGCTATGTACAGACGTTCTTTCCACCTCGATATCTTTTAGGAGAGGGGGCTTCTGTACACAGGCTAAAGCTCGGGGGTTCTGGGGGTCTGAAGAATAGGGATCGTTTAAGAAATAGGAGGCGTTCATTCTGATAATTATGTATCCCCTCCAACAAAACGGCCTAACAAAACTAATGTACTTCGAAAGCGAATTCCTTACCTTCCTTGCTTTTGCGGAAAACGAAAATACGAAGTAGGTCTTGTTTGACCCAGATACTATGACGTATTGAGCACATCGATCAAAATATCAAAGAGCTCTTTTTTCACTTGACTTGTGGAAAAAAATGCAATGTGTAAGCCCTTGTTAATCGCTGAAGAATTTCCAACTGATTACTAGTTAATTGAATGATTTTCCTCTATGTCACTTTGTTCAAGTATTGTTGTCTTTGGGAGGTCGGGGGAGGCGTCTGTTAGTCGGGGCGTTCGTTAGAGAAGGGGCATCAAACATAAATATGACAGCGTGCGGGGGAATGGGGATTATTTACTAGCGAGAAGAGGAGCTTATTTGAGAGAAGGCTTCTATTAGATCATAAATGATAAGTATATTATCATTCGATGTCAGAGTCTTCATTTTTCAATCCAAATGATGGTGACTAAAATTCAATGTCGTATTGTTTGAGCTATTTTGAAAAAATAGCTCATATGTCAGTGGTGTGAGCGTATGTATCTTTGTGGCTTTGTATCTTTGTAACTTTCTAACTTTGTATCTTTGTAACTTTGTATGTTCGGATGTTTGTTGCAAGAGCCAATAAGGTTGAAGGTACTATGAGTTGATGCTAAGGAACTAATGAGATCTTGGCATCTACTTAAAAATCACATTGCTAAAGGTCGAACAAGGGCACTTTAAGACCGCCATCTTGATTCTTTACAATTTGTTCGTCTTTTATTACGGCTACAGTTGTTTGGAAACATTATATTAAATATCTTCATGATTCAAACGCTGTGTACAGTGATGCAGCTGTTTAAGGGTTCATATTTTAGTGTGGATGCTACTTCAAGACATTTCTGACCGAATTCGGCTATCGCGAACGGTACCACGCAAGTATTTATGAGTTGTGTTTCACCTGCTTCAAGGTAGAGTATAAACGATCATATATTTTCAAAGCTCTTCCAGTGAAGCAAAAATTGATATTTAGATATGGACTTTAATTCGAAAGTATGCGGCCTATAAAATGTGGTTTTAGAAGTTTGAAAAGCAGCTTATTTTTTTAAAAGCTGTACCGAGTATTGTTAATCCTGTAAACAAGCTGTAGAAATATTATTCTCTCGCTTACAAAGTTCAACAGACCTTTTTCGTTCCGGCAAAACAACAACAAAAAGGAATAATAAGTGAACAACACGATACATCCTTCCTGCATACTAAGCATTATAGTTATTGAAACGTATTTTATTTAGTAAAGATGCGTATAAACTTAAGTAGAAACAGTAGCGTTAGGGAAGAAGCTAGTTGACACAATAATTAGGTACTGCTTTATTGAGTGGAGTAACATGATATGAGCAGAAATATATTTCGGCAGTTTGATAATTTTCTTGGAAGTTAATAAATGTTAGGCTATCAACCTTGACGTTGCATGAAACATAATTTAATTGCAGATGTTGTAATAAGGCCGAGGTGATTTCTTAAAATCGCTTGAGAAAATTTTGTAGTAAACAATTTGCGTTTTTTTTGAAGTACGAATTGTAAAAGGGCCAAAGACCAACATCTTCACATGTAAATCGTGTGCATGAGTTATTTTTATAATTCTGTTTACTCGATTACTGTGTGATAACTCGAATTCCCTCACGTACGAACCACGGAAGGGGGCAAAGTCCAACACTTTCACGTGCCATCTGTGTGACTATACATCTCATGCAGATTGGCTTTTCACAATAGTAATAGTGACTTGAACGTATAAAGACCTGTTTCGTTTAGTAACCAATGTCCTAAAAAAGGCTCTTGTCTTTTAAGAAGCAATAGCTTTTAAAACATGAAGAAATAAGTTGTCGGAGTTAAAGACTGTCTCACAAATGTTAATAAATGTTAGGTTATCAACCTTGACGTTGCATGAAACATAATTTAATTGCAGATGTTGTAATGAAGCCGAGGTGATTTCTCAAAATCGTTTGAGAAAATTTTGTAGTAAACAATTTGCCTTTTTTTTAACGTACGAATAGTAAAAGGGCCAAAGACCAACATCTTCACGTGCCAATTGTGTGCAAGAGTTATTTTTATAATTCTGTTTACTAGTTTATTGTGTGATAACTCGAATTCCCTCACGTACGAACCACGAAAGGGGACAAAGTCCAACACTTTCACGTGCCAGCTGTGTGACTGTACATCTCATGCAGATTGGCTTTTCACAATGATAAATAGTAACTTGGACGTATGAAGACCTGTTTCGTTTTGTAACCAATGCCTTAAAAAAGGTTCTTGCCTTTTAAGAAGCAATAGCTTTTAAAACATGAAGAAATAAGTTGTCGGAGTTAAAGACTGTTTCACTGAGTAGAATCGCACGTGAAAACCTCGTGAATTATGATGACGCAACCATCTACCTCAATGATAAAAATCCTGGTATTTCGTAACTATTCAGTATTCGATGAGTCACATTTTGGCTTAAGAAACTCCGAGGAAACCTTAGAGTTTTCCTTCTAATCAACGTTTGGTGAGTAGAAATTTATTTTACTTTAGCAATTTGTTTAACTTGCACCAGATGTAACTGGGAAAGACAGAGGAAAGTGAATACATAGGTTGAGGATCGACTCAGCTGAGCGTTTCGCGTTTTCATTTATGTAGCGCAATACCCAATTTCGCACAAAAACCAAATCTACATTTAGGATGAAAAAGGTAGATTCATCACTCTTGGTAAGGTTACACCGAAGTATTATAGTTACACTGAAGCATTCAAAATAGCTCATGCACGTTGAACGTGCCTATGTTTGTTCTTTGCCGTTTCGAGCAGCGCTTCGTTTGAATGGCAAACGGAGGCTAACAGATATTCTAGACGGATAAATGATAAGCACGGGGGACGAGATAACAAACAAAGAGCAAGAGAGAGCATAGTGGGTTATACAAAAGGTCGTTAATTTTGTTTGTTTTGTGTTCGCCGGTGAAATTGTTGATTCTTGATCATAACTAAATGCAAGAAAATTGCTCTTGGCACTTTAACTCTAGCCTGGATTTCAGACATGAACTCTGGCGTCTTTAACCCTTTCACTCCTAGGTTGAATAATAGTGAGATCACCGGTCATTTTATTTGTACCTGCGGACGAAACCTTGTATGACTTAGGCTGAGATCATACCCTCTCCCTATCAGTGCTCGACACTAACGCTAGTCTATGGTGGCCCACTAACGCCATAGCAATTTTGAACTTTTTTGGTGAAATTTTGACACTTTACATTCTATTTTCCTTTATTTTTTCGTTTTAATTTGTTTTCTTTTGATTATTTTTATCTGTTTTAAATTTCCTTTTTTAAAATTATTTTTATCTTTTTTAAAAATTTCTTTTCTTTTAATAATTTTTATCTTTTTTTTGTTAATTATCCCTTTTTTAACTTAAATTGTTTCTTCTTACTTTTTATTTTCATTTATTTTGTAATTTTTATTTTATTTGGTTATACAATTTTTTTTATTATATAAAAATTATGAAACAGCGATCTAATTTTGAAAACAAAAAAAACGGTCTCTAGCCCAGCAACGCCATAGACCAGAATTCCTCGCGCGTAACGATCATTTTTTTCTTTTTATCACTTTTTCTTCTTTGTGTATTTTAACTTTAAAATAAAAATGGTTTTTGTTCTCAAATGAATTAAAAAACACATGTCGTGGCCCAGCAACGCCATAGACCACAATGCATCGCGAGTAATGACTTATACATGTATCCCATAAGCCCCCCGCATTCACTTCAAGATGGCGGCGAGAATGAGGAACTCGGACTGGGAGGACAATCTTGAGATAAAGAATGATTTAAAAGAACAGGTTAGTCGTAACCTGCGACAATCAGAAATCGTAGACTTAATGAAAGTTAAATACCCCATATATTGTTGGAGCCTGAGGACTCTATCTCGCCGTCTTCATCATTTTGGGATCATATACACCGAGTACTCGGTTGATTTAGACGAAGTTAAAGGTGCAGTTGAAAGAGAAATGAAAGGCCCAGGAAGCCTGTTAGGTTACCGGTCTTTACACAAGAAAGGCCAAGAAGTACACGGAATCAATGTCCCAAGAAACGTGGTGTATGACGTTATGGCGGATGTAAATCCGGAAGGTCTTGAGCAAAGAGGTGGCGTTGGAATGCCAAAACGTCCCAAGAGGACAGGGGCTTTTACCTAAAATGTAATTAGGAGCATTTGTGGTGCGTTTATGTTGTTTTCTTGATGCAGCACATCACATCACGTCACATCACATCTGGCCTAACTAAAGCCGTTTTCAGCATGAGTAACAGTCAGACATATCATGCTATAGTGTACTACTGGGTGACCCAGCTCTAAACATTACTGTGGGAGCCTTCTAAAGTTGTACATGTATCTCTGTGATTACCATACAGATTTGTTACGTAGTACTTATAGAGAGGATTACTATTTTAGTCCTGATTAGAACCAGTTTTAAGGATCCAGTGTACAGTATAGGAGGCGCAACCCCTTCATGGGGAAGAACAATAATTTCATTTGTTACGAAAGTACTCTTAATTTTAAGAGTATTCTCATTTCAAGGTATCGTCAAGGAATGTTCTGTTATTGTTGGGCTGGTACTGATGCATCTGGTACTGGTGTGTGTGAGTTGAAGATAAAAGGTCCATGTTTAGGTAAAAAAGGAAACATATAAAGCACATTTACTAGAAGAAACAATGCTCGCAAAAAGGCCAGATGTGATGTGACGTGATGTGATGTGACGTGATGTGATGTGATGCATCAAGAAAACAACATAAATGCAACACAAATGCTTCTACTTACATTTGAGGTAAAAGCCCCTGTCCTCCTGGGACGTTTTGGCATTCCAACGCCACCTCTTTGCTCAAGACCTTCCGGATTTACATCCGCCATAACGTCATACACCACGTTTCTTGGGACATTGATTCCGTGTACTTCTCGGACTTTCTTGTGTAAAGACCGGTAACCTAACAGGCTTCCTGGGCCTTTCATTTCTCTTTCAACTGCACCTTTAACTTCGTCTAAATCAACCGAGTACTCGGTATATATGATCTCAAAATGATGAAGAAGGCGAGATAGAGTCCTCAGGCTCCAACAATATATGGGGTATTTAACTTTCATTAAGTCTACGATTTCTGATTGTCGCTGGTTACGACTACCCTGTTCTTTTAAATCATTCTTTAACTCAAGATCGTCCTCCCAGTCCGAGTTCCTCTAGCCTCCCACGCAGGCGTTTTTAGGGGAGCTCGTTTTTCATCCCTCCCCACAAACGCCTGCTCAACCGAAAACAACATTCCTTTCCCTCTGTTATACTTGCGTGGTAAGTGACCAATAAACAGTTGTGTAATAAAGTGTTGACAGGCTAAACGCGACTAAAACGTGACCATAGAGTTACCGTTTTCCTTCTTGTCTTTCCTTCGCTAAGGTTATGAAGTGCATGGAGTATTCTTAAATTTCACTAAATCTTATTTTTGCCGTTCTGAATCTAACATTTATTACAGGTGAGAAACTTTTTCCAGTGTTTCATGCAGATCAAGTAATTATTTCCAGAATTTGAAAAATACAATGTGATTGGCTAAGCATGGGAAAGGAATGTTGTTTTCAGTTGAGCAGGTGTTTGTGGGGAGGGATGAAAAACGAGCTCCCCTAAAAACGCCTGCGTGGGAGGCTAGAGTTCCTCATTCTCGCAGCCATCTTGAAGTGAATGCGGGGGGCTTATGGGATACATGTGTTAGTCATTACTCGCGATGCATTGTGGTCTATGGCGTTGCTGGGCCACGACATGTGTTTTTTATTTCATTTGAGAACAAAAACCATTTTATTTTAAAGTTAAAATACACAAAGAAGAAAAAGTGATAATAAGAAAAAAATGATCGTTACGCGCGAGGAATTCTGGTCTATGGCGTTGCTGGGCTGGAGACCATTTCTTTTTTTTCAAAATTAGATCACTGTTTGTAAATTTTTATATAATAACAAAAATTGTGTAACCAAATAAAATAAAAATTACAAAATAAATCAAAATAAAAAGTAAGGAAAAACAATTAAAGTTAAAAGAGGGAGAATGAAAAAAAAAAGATAAAAATTATTAAAAGAAAAGAAATTTAAAACAGATAAAAATAATCAAAAGAAAACAAATTAAAAAGAAAAAAAAAAGGAAAATAAAATGGAAAGTGTCAAAATTTCACCAAAAAAGTTCAAAATTGCTATGGCGTTAGTGGGCCACCATACTAGTCCACGAGCCCGGGACTAGTGAAAATTCACGCTGGGCTAGTAAAAGTTAGCCTCCCCGCAGACGTCCTTTGGGGTTCGTTTGTCACGCATTCATTTCTCCCCCACGGACGTCTGCTAAACAGAGCCGACTTTTACGTTCACCAATCACAGGCCGTTTACGGATTTTTGTAAAACGTAACCCGAGGCGCTTCTTAAGATTCTCACGATCAGTGAGGCTTTTGATCGAGTGAGCGAGAAATTTGTAATTAATACAGAGTTAAACAAGTATGAGAGAGAAGCTATCCTGCAAATTTTATAGCGAAGACCGATGAGTTCATAAATTTGCCGACGGGATTTGGCAAATCCCTTATCTCTCAAGCTTTGCTGCTTGTTTGCGACATATTGCGTGGAACTACTGGACATTACTGTTGATGTTGTTTCTGCCGTGGTAAATCTTGAAAGATCAATCTACAAAGCTGGAAAATATTGGTATTCCTGCTGTAACGCTCAGTGATATTAGCAAAGAGAATATGAGGGTTGTCGATAGAGGGACTTTCTCTGTTGTTTACGGAAGCCCAGAAGCTTGGTTGAAGATCGATCGGTGGAGGAAATGTTAGCGAGTGACTTGTACAGTTACTATGTGGTCCTTGGTCGGCGACTTTCCCGAGCATGATTAAATATTTCGTCGAGAAATAAAATGCAATGAACAATGAAAGGTTCAATGATTTATTGATTATAAGCATTCTTTCTTTCTTTGAAGGAGCGAGATTAAAGTTTGTTGACAGGTAGGTTAATTTGTCGTTCTAGCTTGAAGTTTGGACTCGGCGGCACCGTGGTCATGTTTACTTAGCTTGTGAATAAATAAAACGCAATGGGAGGACGTGCCTTTTTGCAGAACAAGTTTTCAGAAAAACGTTTTTCTGCCGTTGGAAGCACATTGCTGTAGACTTCGAATTTTCTGTTTTACCGACTCTTGAAAAAATATAACCAAATTTTGCGTATTGGTCCTTGGTTCGCGACCCATGACCTTGGTGGAATTACATTTCGCAAAAAAGGAAACGGCCTTTGTTTTCGAAGAATGCTTTGAATATCTTCCCTATACACGTTTACAAGTTATCTTTTCTTAATACTTCGAATATATACAGAGTTAATAGTAATTATTGTTTTCGACCGCGCTGAAAACCGCTCCGCGCTCGTGTGGGAGACTGTTGTCTGAAGTCTTTCAAAGAAAAGCAGATTATTTTATAGTCACAACCTCCGAAAAAAATATACAGCTGACTGCAGCTTTATTGCATCGTTTCTGTGATTTCTTCAAAACATTTGAGTCGTCTCATGTAGAAGATAGCCGTGCAAATAAATAATTCACTTGAGAATACCAGAGACATCCAGAGACATCACTTATATCACGGCGCGTGATTGGCTGATTGTGACACAATAACTAACCGCTTATTGGCTTATTCAAACAATCCAGAACGTAAAAGTCGGCTCTGTTTAGCAGACGTCCGTGGGGGAGAAATGAATGCGTGACAAACCTACCCCAAAGGACGTCTGCGGGGAGGCTAAGTAAAAGTGTGCTCCTACTAGCCCCTAGACCAGTAGATTAGTGAACAAAATATTCTACATGTTTTCAGTAGTTAGCTTTTTTTAGCTGAGTATCAAATGTAAACCAAAGGATTCGCTATTCATTAAGTGGAAGTATCGTAGTGATTGACCCGCAAAACAGACGCCATGTTGGAAATGCAACTACGTCCGCGTTTCCATGTCACACAATAAAGTAGGGGCCTGGTAAGAGCCGCCATCAAAGATTGGAGTTTTCTCGTGCACATTTACGGCAGGATCAGGAATGAAGAAGATTTCAAGTTTTTTAACAACTTACCTTCGAGAAAGCGTCCTTCAACGGTCTTTCGACTCAAACGAGCATTTTTTCAACCCGCTACCGATTGCCACTTAATGGAAGGAAAGCTTTCCATACGAGCTTTTAGTCCCAGTTCGATATCCTTCAATGACAACGCAATCCGTCGTAAGAAATTTTACTCTTCGAAGCTTTTCAAAGATTTGCCGCCAACTTGAAGGGAATTTGTAAATGATCACCTATGATTATAGAACCGTGCTCGACCTCTCAAGCATATCATTGTGATCACGGCATAGCTGACTTGTGACTTGTCCTTCCGGGCTAGTGATTTATTTCACTCATTAGCCCATTGCTTATGCCGTGTTTACATTTGAGCTTTTACCGAGGTAAAAATTTACTAAGGTCAAGTTACTTAACCTTGGTGCATTCGTCCAGTGTTTACATTAGCTCAAATAACTCAAGTTGATCTGTCGACGGTGAGGGTAAAAGGCGGAATGAGTTTGCGGAATGGCATGTGGCACGGCTTGCGGAATGACATAATTATGCTTATAATTATGTAAAATATGGATATATATATAAAATATACGCTTCCTGAACGTGAAGTCTGGCTAGCTACAATTCTAGGGATTATTAATTAATACGGTGGACGGATCAGATCATATTTGAGACTAAATGAACGCCCCGAGTCAAACATTAATCTGTAATCCAGAAATCGAGTGAAGCGAACTACTCTCTGTCTCCTTTCGGCCTTTCCACGTCTCTTCGCACCTTCCTTGTTTGTGTGAGTGTGTGCGTTTGATCGTGAAAAAATGCTAAAACGGCAAAAAGGGGGAAAAAAAGAAGAAAAGACACACTCAATCGCCAGCATTCGAACTCGGACTTCTCCGCCAGCTGTTAGCTTCGTGCGCCGGAAACTTAACCAAGCAGCTAAGGAAACAAAATACAAGATTCGTTTTCATCTCTGAATACGTATATGTCACGGTCACGTATTATGTCACGATCACGTAACCCACCGTCTGAAAAAGAAAAAGTTCTCACGCGGTTGCAAATACAAATATTGGTAAAAGGAAACTGTAAAGTTAATCGTGCAAACATCTTTTGCAGAAAAAATTAATTAAGTA